GGTCACTGGAATTGAAGACATCAACAGGAAAATGGATAAACGTAATTAAAAAATACCGTTTATAAATTATTTTTCATAAAAAATTTGTTCAAAGGTTCTCTGATATTTGTGTTTTAATTTTTCAGATTTTATAGTCGTGTTTTTAAAGTCTAGACCTAAGTCAATATGTATGATATTCCACCTGTGGTGAAATTGGAAAAAAGAAAACTCTCAAAAATATCAATGTAAAAAGAAGATCAAATAATTTTAAAAAAATAAAAATAATTCAGTTTTTGCTAATTTACAGGAGATTTAATACAACATTTTAATACAGTCAGTAATGCAAATAAGTTTGTTTTTTGCCAGACTATGTTTATTTTTTTAATAATAGGGCCTAGTGTTTCTTTACGACATATTTTTGTATAATATACATTTCTTAAAATTTTTTTTTGATTTTTATTATTATATTTAGACTTATTATTTCTCTTGTCACAGCTACAAAAAGCCATAAATTGTCAGATCAGCAGATCTAGCCAGTACATTTCAAATGATCAGTACGTTTATTATGTTGAACTGATCACTTTAGACACCTTAGTAAATTTTAATGTGTTTACTGTACTTGTTGTGTCCAGTGGCCTATTCTGATTGATGGCTCTGACTACACAATAAATTGGTTGTTAACATCCAAAGCAACTTACTTTACCATTTATTTCCTTTAATTTACTGTTATTTTTTCACACATTTTATAACAAAAAGGGGAGTGCTCAGGTACTGTGAACACCACCCTCCCCATTGCCCTGGTGATCAGTGGCGTATCTAGCAGTATTAAAGTGGGCGGGGATACACATCTAGGGGGGGGGCGCGACCGACCAAATATGAGGGGGCGTGGAATTATTGTGTGTCTAAAGGTGTGCTTCAAGACATTGGTGGATGTCAAGATGGTCCTATGCACATAAATATATGATTATTTAGGTTTAAACAATGCAGGTTTTTAAACAATGGTCTGGGCAATAATAATCAACATCAAGGCATTAATACTTTTGTGGTCTGCCATATTATTATCTAAGTAACAATAGTGAAAATATAAATACCATTTATTATTATTATTATTATTCTTGCTGCTGTTGCTGCTGCTGCTGCTGCTACCTCTGCCGCCGCTGCTGCTGCTGTTGTTATTATTCTCATCAACATCATTATTGTTGTTGATAAATACCAGGATAAAATCTTATTTATTTATTTATTTATTAGCCACCCCCCCTCCCCCTCTGTAGATACGGCACCGTTTGTTCTGTTTTGTTAGTTATTGTTTGTTTGTTGAGGCGGAGGGTTTAGAGGATACCCACACCTTGTGTTGGGCTCTAAGCCCATGGTGTCCTCCTGGCACCCCCCCCCCCTTTGGCCATTTTCTGATTTGTTGTCCCGAATATGTAATAAGTAAATTATTAATATTAATTTACAGAAAATATTATTGTGCGGAATAGCGTCAAAGGCTCTCGGCGTTAGGAGAACATGCAAAGACAGAAGAACAATGGTTATTTCAATACCTAATAATCATTAACTGAGGAAGCGACCATGGCTGTACTCCTGCCATTAACGAACCCATATATTTAATGTACCATACTATTGTACTAGGTTGAAAATACAATTGATATTTACATCTATTTAGATTTAATTTATTTTATCTTCACACTAGAGAATTCACAAAATGTGCCACAGGATTTAAAAGAAATAAATATTCAGGATTTGGAACAGATGAAGAAACAACCTAGTTTTGAGGATGGCACGTTTGGGGAACTGTACATTGCCAAGTACAAATTATTTGGTGGAAAAGTAGCAGTTAAAAAATTGTACGTGTGACCTTTATTTATACTCTAGTATTTCCCCATTTCTCTTCTTGATTAAATTTTGCAGGAATATTTTTATTTGTATGTTTGTACAACATTGGGGTAGGAGGTTAATAATTTGCATGTCATCTTAAATTTACTATTGCTATTCACCATTCTCAAAACAATAACAATACAAACATTCCTCCTTCTGTATATTTAGATTTGAAGGCCAAGATATTAAAAGAAATTTGAGAGAAGAAGCCATGAAACTGAAGAAGTTTGATTCACCAAACATTGTCAGGCTTTGGGGCATTTGTACAGAAGGAAGTATGCATACCAGATTCTACAAACAAAAATTTGCTTTTTTTCTTATAAATATAAGAACAATCATGATGAGATGGAATTGAAATGGTTTTACATCATCTACACTCAGTTACTTCTGATCGTGAATGAGGGGTCATATGACTATAGTCTTTCTTATGAGCTTCTTGTAATAATTTTAGCATTGAAGTGCATGAACCATATAGTGTTAAACTGTTTTAAGTCGACTTCGCCTAATTCAAATAATTTCTATTTTACATGTCAAATTGTTGTGTTTTCCTTTAATTAACAATTTGTAAGTGGAACAATTTTTCAGTGCCATTTTGGATTCGACTTAGGCAATTTAAACTGTATATAAAGAAATGTATTATTTATAAACAAATCCTGATCTGATAACTTATAAATCTATTTTATTTTTAGATAATAATATGATTGTATTTGAATACATGGAAAATGGGCACTTGAGAAAGTTTCTTGATGAAAATAGCCAACTCACCAATGCACAGAGACTTCAAATGGCTTCCAATGCTGCATCCAGCCTTTTCTATGTCCATAATCAAAAATGGCTACATCGCAATCTGACGTCAATGAAATATCTTGTTGGCAATAACTTTGAAGTTAAGGTTAGACATTGATTTCATTTTTGTCTGTATATATTTGCGTACAGAATGATGTTTTAATATCTATTGATTCCTCTGAATTTGACACACTAAGTTGATCACCATCTCCTTCTACATCTACATGCTATGGTTTTTCCGGTGTTGCCCTCAATTGGATTTCATCTTATTCAAGTTTCTGTACACAGTCTGTTGTCATTGATGGGATTTCCTCAAATCCTGAATATATATCATATGGGGTTTATCAGGGGTGTGTGATCGAACCTCTTTTGTTTATTTTATACACAACTCCATAAGACCTTGTGAAGGCACATGGTATGTGTTGCATGGTTTATGCAGATGACATTTAAATATACACCATATACTTTTAAACCATCCAAAATCTTACCAACTTTGAGCAGGATTTCAGCATGTATTCATGATATTAAACAGTGTTCAGCTTCAAATAACCTCCTCCTTAATGAAACCAAAACTCAACTTGTACATTTCAGCTCACGTTTAGATGTCCTTGGCATATTTCTTCACCTTTTTCTAAGTTTTTTATTGAACCAGTTCCATTTGTCCGTAACATTGTGGTCATTTTTGACTCCTCTCTCAATATGCATTCCCATATCAATTCCATATGTAGTTCTTCAAATCTTGCTCTTCAGAATATTTAACCTACTTCACAGTGTTTCTAAATTTCAACTTTCAAAACTACAGCGCATTCAAAATAGTGCTGCACGACTCATCACTCTACAAAGATGCAACACTCATATTAACCCAACTTTACATGATCTCCATTGGCTTCCTGTTGAACAACGTATTGCATATAAGATTCTTCTCATTATCATAAATGGTTTTGCACCTGGTTACTTGGCTGACGTCATTGAATATTACAGTCCACCTTGGTCCCTTTGTTCTTCTGATAAACACCTTCTCCACACACCTAAAACCGTCACTAAAACGTATGGTGGAAGACCACTTATGTCACCATCTCCTTCTTCGCTGCTCTTTTTGATTTTTGTTTTATTTTTATTGTTTATTATGTTGTTGTTAAGCGCCTAGAGGTTATTAACCTTAGGCGCCACATTAATATTGATTATTATTACTATATTATCATCTTTACTTAATGAATACATTGCGGTTGGAACGTGGGGGGTACAAATCCCCTCAATATATTTGAGGGATGTGTCCCCTGTTCCCTCCCCACCATCATCTGTGCCCATGCTGGTAGCTACCATTGCCATTTCATGTTGATTGATTGAACTAGAGTTATCAAAATCCAAAGATCCCTTGATGGATTTGGTTTTTTCCCCCATTTCTTACTTTTTTTTTTCATTTACTTAATAAAAATTTTACAATATTGTAATTTATACAAATACTATTATTTTGAACACAGCTAAGTGATGTTGGCTTTTCTAAGACATGGGAGTCGGCTCGAAAGTATAGTACTGTACAATCTCAAGCAAAACGATATCATGCCCCAGAGCTTTTGAAAAGTGCTAAACAAGTGTATGATTTTAAATGTGAAATATATTGGTGAGTAAATAGAATTAACATTAATATTGTGACAGTAAATTTAATTCATAAAATCAGGGAACTTTCACTGTTCCCGGATAAAATATGTTATTTAATTATAATACAGCTGCGACCTCTAGAGCACACGCTAGCTTACCTACGCCCCACTTTGGTGGGTGTATCAGTTGTTTGGAGAAGTGTCCTGCTTGGATTGTAGCTACGACATATCAAGTGGTCCTTGTGGTCAAGTGGTATGACACTCTCCTTGACAGCGAGAGATTGATTCCCTCCAGGGAGGCTTTTTTAAACAATTAATTGATAAGTAACATTTTCATTGATAGGCTATACTCGATATGATATTTACATCTACATTTTCTTTATTCGAGCATTGTTCCTACCATTTTTTGATTTTGTATATAATATATAATATATATATATATACACATCATTCCTTGACCGAACAAAACTTACACTCTTACACCTATGGATGACTGAATGATAAATATTTTATAAAAATAATCAAATAGTTTGAATCTATAATAGTTGGATGAGGCACACTAAAGCAATATAATAAATGAAAGGTGTAGCCACTTCAGTTTGCTATAGAACAATATAAAAAATGAGAGAACTCAGAACTTAAATTAATTATACATTTATTTTCTCTAGCTTTCGTCCACTTAGTAGACTTTATCAGGAAACTATACAAAAGCAATATATTTAGTCTTGTTTTTGTATTTCTTCTTTTCTACAGTTTTGGGATTGTCTTATGGGAGATATTTACTGGAAAGGAGCCATACAAGGGTAAGATAAAAAAAAAATATATATATATATTTATTTATAATGTGCATCTTTGGGCATCAGGGCCAAGGATACCAAATAGCAAATTAGAGTCACTTTTTTAAGTGGCAATCCTTTCACAAGACAAACAGGCCTACGCGCAAGATGCTCAGAGACTAAAGCTGCGTTCACACCAAATCTTGGATCCAGTCCAGTGCCCGGAAAAAATCATGAAAAATGGCTTCAATGGTCAAAAATAGGACCGTTCACATCACATTCTAATATTTCCATACCGGACTCTGGATCTGGACGGATAAATCTGAGAGCCATTGGGCGTATTCGACTGGTTCATTTCGTTGACTGCGATTTTTTGTTGACAACAAAAAGTAACGTAAACCAGAGTGCGTTAATCAGCGTTAAGTTACCCATGTGAACAAAACAAACATGACCGATTCGTCAGTTTAGCAAAAACATTTGCATTAATATAATGTAGATTAAATTTCAGAAAATTAAAATTATAATATTTACCCATGAGAAGGTAGCTTAAGTCTGATTTTGATAATTATAGAGTGAAGTTATTTTGGTCGTGAGAAAAATCCTGTTGTGACAGGAACTGAACCCAAGACCCTGGAATTGGAAGGCAAGCACCTTAACAACCAAGCTCTATTCAAAATGTGATTCTTTTGCTTCAAACATTTCCAGTGTGGGAAACGTTTTTTTTTAATACTAGGTACGCAACTGTTGTAGACAACAAAAGAGCATCAGTTTATTGTACAGTATATTATATGATTTTGTTAAATTTTGTAAGTGTAAGTAAATGTTTTCCAGGAATGAGTCCAATGGATATTATGGAGAGTGCAAAAAAAGAGGAACTGCTGCCTATGGATAATTTGGGATCACATGGTGAATTGATTTCGAAGTGTATGGCAGGTAATCCGCTTGAAAGGCCAACCATGAATGGTATGTTGCTCTTATTTTAATAAGTTTAATATTGGGAATAATAATTACATTTATTATTAATTTTATTTATTATTAAATTATACATTATTGTCCCTAGTAATAGCTGTGTCTAATATTAATACTGTTTAACTAATTTGAGTGTATATTATGTGTTTATGACTAAACCAATGTGTACTTTTATTCACCACATAAAAAACTCAACCCATGTCACATTCATTATGAAATGTAATTTTAATATATTTAAAAGAATTATAATATGACAATATTTTTTATTTATGATACTTCATGGCAATTACCTGAGATGAATTAATCATTATTGTTAAAGCAGCATAGCTCAATTTGCTAAACTGGTGGCAGTCACTGTGTGTGTGTGTGTGTGCTAAATCATGGAGATCCTTTGATACCTGGTTAAATTCCATACGCTGCTCTACTTGTGTATATAAAAAAGTGCACCGGCGTTCAGGAGATGGTCTCATGTGAAATATGGCTTATGTGCACTTTTAAGGAACGCAGTGCACTCTTTGGGAAAGTGTAGGGGTTGTTTCCCGGTGTATTACCCAGAAGAACCCCACTGGAACTAAGTCTTCGGACTTTCGTGGGTTATTTTTGGCAGGGGACCCAAGACTCCTAGAAGTCATAGAAGTCTCCCGGAAATTGGTACGGCCTTTCGCACTCCCGCAAACAAGCAAGAATCTGCGGGAAATAATTAATCTCACACAAATTCGTAATATTTGATTGTTCTTACTAATTTCTTATCAGTTGTCTCATGGAAATCATTGCCAATAGGTCTCACCGTGGGCAGCACATTTAACAGATCTTCCAGAAGAGACTTTTTCCAACTTGGAAGAAGTCTAATTCAATCTAATTGTTTTTATCCATTTTTTCAGAGATTACTGATGAATTGGAAGCCATAAAGCATCAAGATTGTGAACAGAAAACTGTAGAATAAACAATTGATGGTTACAGGGCTTCCAAGAAACAAAATAAAATAAAGAAATAAGAAGCTTAGATCAAAAAAAGAATTAAAGGAAATGTTTGAGAATTTTTTTACCCTTGTACACCATTAATTTAAGGTTTTTTTTTTTAAAATACGTCGTGGAAAACAGGTCAAACTTGGTTTACAAATTTAAATACATTAACAATGCAATATATTATTGTGGAAGTGGTTTGACGCAGTGGGGAAGGTTTGGTTTCCCAACCTCGCGGTCAGGGGTTTCAATTCCCTCACTGTGTATTTCACTTGTGTCCTTGGACAAGGCGCTTTATCTGCATTGCTTGTCTCCACCCAGGAGTATAAGTGGGTACCTGGTTGGGTTAAATGCCAAAATACGCTGATGTAGCTGCTGCAACGTTATGCAATACTCCTTCAGGGAGCTTGAGTTTGTGTTCCATAGACGTTTAATCCAATGACCGGGGGTAATTATTTGAAGAGCTTAGAGGCCTGGTAGCGTTAAGCACTATATAAGTCTAATATATTGTTATACTATTATAGGTAAATGCAATAACAGTAACATTAGAACTTTTACCAAGTTTTTACTGAGCAAAAAATCATTAGGAAACATGTTGATTGCCGACTAGCACCCGCCCTCCCCCACCCTTTTGGAAAGTTAAATAAAGGGGGAAAAAAAAGAAAAAGTATGTTTTTTTTTCGAATTCGGCGTATCTCTTGATCACCCCCTCCCCATTTCATCCTCCGCCTTTCGGACATCTCTGGATCTGCTCCTGCTATACATCAAAGATTAGGGAAGTTTCCGGTAAGGTTCTAAATACAGGCATCACCCCCAACCTAATCAAACTACTGTGACCCATATACCCCCAGCATACCTATAGCTATAAACATGAATGAATGAGGGCCTGTTAATTTATAAGCCATACAAATTCCTTGGTTGGATTGTACAGGTACCATAAAACCTCGAATTGAAGCCCAGTGGGCTTAATCTCGAGATGAAGCCCATCTCGATTTGAAGCCCCCCCCTCTTATACACATCTGTTGGGCTTCTATTCAAGATAGCATAGGCGTCTTTTCGAGATAGTACAGTACCGTAAGTCTACATACACTGTACATGAATTTCAGAAAACAAATTAAATTAAATATAAGTTTGGTTTATACAGTAGTTTAGGTGATTTAATGCCAGTTAAATACACTGCATGATACAGTATTCATTTTGAAAAGAAGTCCCCCCTCTTTACTTTGCAAAAGCAGTCTTGAAAAGAAGCCGATCCACAGTTCGCAAAAAATTTTTTTTGAAAAGAAAAAAAAAACACAGGGCTTCAATTCGAGGATTTACGGTATGTCAAAAATGTGAGTAAGTCATTTAAATGCGAAAGAAAAAAATTGAAGGGAAAAAGCAAATGTTACAGTTCTTTTTAAATTAAGAAATGCTTATTGCTTATATTGAACAAGATCCTGCCGTGAGTTTTGTACCGCGATAGTTATATGTTATCAGTTTGTTATAATTTTAAGAGGTAATATATTTAATGATACCACTTTTTAAAAAACTTAATACCATTTTTGTATTATTTTAGTAGTATGTGGTTTTATACAGAAAGTATAGGCCTATAAAAATATTTTGCTTGATCGATGTCTTCATGGCCCACGTTCAAACAATCACATACTACAGCAGCGACAGTCGTCGGGGCATTTTTTTACGTCAAGTGGTCGATGGGTGTATCAAAGCATGGAGGTAGCCTTTAAAATCAAAGTATTAATAATAGCGTGGCTTCGAAAGAAACAAAAAATCGTTTGATTGAAGGCCTATTACGGATTTGTTACGGGAGAGTTGTTATAGAACGTAGTTTATATGAAGCATGTTTCCTACCATTGCTATTCTGTATTCTTATTTCTTTGTTCCATAACTGTTTTTTTTAATGAATTGTGTATAGGCCTTCAGTACTTTGTTTTTTAGTTCTACAATGATGTCCAAATAAATTTCGAAATGCTGTATTTAATCTCATTTACTTGAATCACTCTGTGTTTGTTCATACACTCTATTCTTTTGTATCAGAAAATGGCTACATTGAGTCATTCTGAATGCATCTTTAATTTCTGTTGGATGGTATAGTTTGTCAGCTTTATAGGCCTATGAACACTACATGCTAAAAGAAGTAAAGACGTCGAGGAGAAGGTGGAATCGGTCATTCAAACCTCTACTATTCCGTAGGCCTAAGTAAAGCACTACAATTTTTTTATTTTTTTATATAAGAACACATTTTAAAAGAACACTGAGGCTGAATTGCTTTAAAATTAAGAACAAATTGAGGCTGAGGTAAAATGTCAAATGAGGTTTTTTAATTATTTTTTTAAAGTAGAAAAACAAAAAATATATATCTGTACCTTATGTGCAGTAGTTGTGACTATGTAATACACTATTAAAAACTGGTTACGGGCCTAGCCCCCTAAATCCGCCTGTTGGTTAGTAGCGATCATGCTACAAGCGTGGTGTAGGTCTTTACCCGTTGACTTTCCCTTCTAGAACCTCTTTTGTAATCCCCTCCCTTATAAAAATGTCCCAGGAATTTTATTTTTCTATTTTTAATTTCTTTAAGTAGATTTCTTTTGGTGTAGGCCTACCATTTCCAAGACTCCATCTTCGAATTGAGTCTGGAAGTTTATTTGTCTCTCTCACATACTCGGCCCCCGGCATGAGAGGGGAAGGTTTTCAATATCTGTCAAAAAATCGGAAAACATCAAAAATTCATTTAAAATTTTGAATAGCTCATTTTAAATAACAGGATCAAATAAGAATTGATTTTTTTCGCTCATTTACAAACATTTTACTGTGCAAAAAAACCCCTTATGGGGAGGATCTTAATCTGACTGGAACTTTTGGGGTCCAGTGGTTATCCTGAAAAAATGTTAAAAACCATGACCGCCACCTTAATTTCAAAATGCTCTTCTGGTATGTTTGAGCATGCTTTCAAAGGAATTACAATTTTTGTGAATTAAAACTGAATCGATTTGATATATGTGCAAATTGAAGAATCGGCAGTAGGATATACATGCAATATTGTTAGTAGATCAAGTTATAGTCTACAGATAGGATCATGTCATATACATCATCATCATCATCTTCCTTTACTGTGCAGAACGTCTTTGGAGTAGTCGCACAAAAACTACAGTACATATGTTATAGGCTTCTATTATGTTGGCTAAATATTAAAGTAGACCTAAGTACTGAAGGCAATACACGGAGTTTCAAATTACAATGAGTATAACCAAATTATAAACCATTTATGCACAATAGCAGCCTTTATTATTTATAAAACATGGTTATTAGCTGACACAATACATGGAACCAAACCGATATACAGTAGAACCCCTATTAAGGGACACCATCGGGACCCAAAAAAAGTATCCACTTAATAGGGGTGTCCCCAGAATAGGGGTACCCCTGTACCACTATTCAGGAGACACTGACCAAAAATGTGAAATTGTCCCTTAATAGGGGTTTTTCGCATGGTTTCGTACAATTTTTTTTAACCATGTTTATAGAGGGTGACCCTTTCAGCGTATCCTACAAGGTCGGTGATATTCACGGGTCCTCTTTAAATAAATGAAATAATGTGATGCTTTTATCAGCGAAGTCTCTTTATGAGGCTTAGAGAGTGGAGTTGTTTTTGTCGTGAGAAAAAGTCCAGCAGTCACAGGAATTGAACCCAGGACCTAGGGATCAGAGGTAAGCACTTTAACCATTGAGCTATTTAACTCCACTCCAACGATGATGACATAGATTCAATAATGATATAGATGTTTGGGAAAAAAAACGCATTATACTGTAGATTCAATGATGACGTACATAGATTCTTTGTAATTATAATTCAGTTGGCCTAGGAATGAGTGACAGTGGACACTAATTTATAACAATAATTTGCAATGCAAAAACAATGATGTGAAATAGATTCTCCAACGATGATGACATAGATTCAATAATGACATAGATGTTTGGAAAAAAAAACTCATTATACTGTAGATTCAATGATGACGTACATAGATTCTTTGTAATTATAATTCAATTGGCCTAAGAATGAGTTACAGTGGACACTAATTTATAACAATAATTTGCAATGCAAAAACCAATGATGTGAAATGTTATTAAAACAACAAAAGTTGTACATATTCCCGATGTTTTTCCATGTGATTCGAGTGCATTAACTAAGTACAATATTCTTTTAAATTGAGCTTTCTATTGGATGTGCAAAATAGAGTGTGAATAGAATAACAACTTAGAATGAGGATGCAGGCGGTATATATATATACACACACTAAACAAGAAATCCACATTATTGGTTTATAATGGTCAAAATTTATACCACCCTATCGTATCTTTGATTATAGTACAGAAGTGCATAAATCGCACTTATAAAGTTGTTTTGTGTTGGTAGAAGAGCGGAACTCCCTCAAGGGGAGGGTGGATAATGGGAAATGAGAAGGCACGAGCGGGGAGGGGGTGGTTTTGGGAGGGGCATCTCCTCACATTTGAGATTTTTTTAAATTAGTAGACTGCTAGACGATCTTAGGTGGCATCTGAAAAGAAGTAATAATAGAAAGTGTATGTTTTACCAGAGTACACAAAAGCACACAAAAAGACGAGTGACCATTATTTTATTTTTCACGGTAAACGAAGTGGGTGGCTAGTCACCCTATTCACCCCCTATCAGCCACTGTGATAAAATGTAGAAGCATTGCAACTAATTCCAGAGCGGCCTGTGGAGCTTTTTTCCTGTACATTATAGGCGTTTTGACACTTAGCTGTTTATGAAATGTTAGAACCATTCCTGATGATGACACAATTAATGTCGAAATATTGAATTCCAACACGATGGCGTGCATTTCAATACTTGGAGTATGTATTGTACTTTCTTAGAACCATGATTATTAATAGGTCCATGTTAGAACATTGTTAATCTGTCTGAACTTGTTTTGTCGATTGTTTCCGATCATTTTATACCTCCAACAAAGGCGTGGCAATCATATGGTCAATAAACAACAATTTCAATAAGCATCCGCCAAAGAGCTTCACCCATGTTCACTCCCTTGGGAATGCGTTAGAGAACAAAAAGTACTACTTGGTAATACAGATTACCATCTTATCTGAGATTACGTAAAGTACAAGCAAATTCAAAATAAACCATTGGAACAGTGCTTCATTGACTAACAGTTAACACCAATTAGCAATTTGGAGGAATTAATAAACAATTTCCCACGAGTTAAGCGAAGAAAAGGACGGATACAATAAATTAATTTAAATATAAAGCGGATTACAAATACCGGTAACTCAAAAATGATCCCACTTAAAAAAATACAAGAAATAATAATAATAATAATAATAATAATAATAATAATAATAATAATAATAATAATAATAATAATAATAATAATAATGATGATGATGATGATGATGATGATGATGATGATGATGATGATGATGATGATGATGATGATGATGATGATGATGATGATGATGATGTAGGCTTCTTAGTTTTTTAAGCCTATAATGAATTGGCTGTTTTATAGCTTGAAATTGAAAAGTTAAAATGTGTCATTTTCAATTAAAAAATATACAAATACAGTACAGAAATAACAAATTTATTGTCAACCATACTTTTTGTTACAAATGTTAAACTAATTAACAGTTGAAATAAACTTAAAGATAAGCAACATTTAGCTGTGTAGGTCTATGTTAGGCTAAGTTCATATCACCTCTGTTTAGACCTAGGTTAGTCCTCCACATACATACATTTAATGTAAATTGTATTATCGACACCCTCCTCCGGCCATGGAGAAGTACAGTTCGAACGTGATGTATCAGAATGGTATAAATCAGAGTGGTCAAATAAAATATTGCTAAAACCTTCATTAATTAATTATTCAAGACTTCAAGTTTCTCCTGAACAGTACAAAAATATTTGTTGGACACAAAACAAATTTTCTTGGGGCAAGTCTAAAATTTAAATTAAGATCTAATAAACTACCCCTTGATTGTGAAGCGTGTAAATGGTCAAATGATATTTCAGGCATTTGCACCCTATGTGAAAATGGAGAAATTGAAAATGTCAAGCATTTTTTACTAAATTGTCCTGCTTATCATTAGAAAACAACATTTAACAAATCTTGAAGATGACCTTCTACTCTGTAAAGATTATGATACATGGACACTTTTTTCAACAACAAATGATGATATTAAACTTCAATATGTTTTCTTAGGAGGAGATTCAGTCTTTATTTGTGATGAATCTACCTCTATTTTTGATAATTTCTGTAAAAAATACATCATGAATGCTTGGGAGAAACGCTCACAACTAAAAAATTCACAACAATAGTATAAATATATTTTTGCTTATCAAATTGTGTTTAATGTTTTTTTTTTCTTTTACCACATCGTAGTCTAAGTTAAGTAGGCCTACTTTGGTATAATCTTTTTGTCGTAAGATTTTATCATCTTTAGATTTTATATTTTTAGGTTAGTTATTTTAAGCATTTACATTACAGTTGACCTGTATTTCTGAGTATGAAATGTGATTTTTTATCTCATTTAATTTCATATTTTTTATTGTTATTATTTTATTGTTATTTGCATTTTCTCAGTTGGCCTATATTATTTCTCTGTAAAGCGCTTGGGGCAATGTGCAATATGCGCTATATAAATATAACATTATTATTATTATTATTATTATTATTATTATTATTATTATTATTATTATTATTATTATATGTTATTTTAGGCTACCTTTCTTTAATTTTTGTAATATTAACTCTTATACAGTCGATTGTTATTAAATTTGTTTGTTAAATTTTACCGTTTTTATGTTTGTACGAACGCACCAATTGATATTGAGTGTCACCGATTGAAAGTGTATGTTCAAATCCTTTGGTTCAAATAAATAAGTGAGCTAGACATGCGCAGTTGAAGAAGAAGGCGGGGCTTAGCTTGCATAGCACATGGACGCAGCATAACTTTCTGTCAGGCGGTTTGACAGAGAGACACCTAGCTCAGAGAATGGAGAAACAAGGTATGTAGTACTGTACAAATTGTACGATTTTCTGTTGCTGTATATTTTTTAGTAATCTTTTTCCTCTTGAATATTGATGTAATAACTGGTGCATGTTTCACGATATTATGCAAGTATGTTTCGTGCCTGGAATCATCTGATTGAGGAGAGAGAGGGGCACTGTGTGATGGAAAGTATTTTAAACGAAACATTTGATTTTGAGCAGAGATGTACCGTATGCACTGCAGTGAGCCTAGGCCTGAGATAGAAGAAATCAGCATTCATATGGTGTTTTTCTTTAGATTGCACTGTTCTTTTCTGAAAAATAGTAATTTAGCTTAGAACTAGATCAACATGCTTAACACAATAACATTGTGTCGGATCATCAACATGTACTATTTAAAATACTGTAGGCCTATTTATATTAATTTGTGGAAGAGTGACCCACACTGTGTGCACTGTGTGTGTGTACCTGCCCTTTTTTAGGGCAAATAGAAAAATTTATTAGATTATCACTCCCGCCCGCGTCAAAAATTCGAGAAATATTGATGCGAGATTTAAAAAAAAAAAATTTGCCACATCAAATATATCAATAGCATAAAAATATCAATCAATACATTTTTGTGACTTCAAATACATTTTCTTTAAAAAAAAAACTATAAAATTAAACCAGTTTTTATACAATATTTACTATTACAGACCAAATATTAACAGTCCCTCCCTCATCGATAAAAGCAAAAGCGAAATAATCTATTGTTCCGATTAAAAAAAAAAAAAAACAATTGTTTTTTGTCAATCAAAACCCATCTTGTGTCTTTAAAAAATCAGTTGTACAACATACAACATTTTTTTTCCTACGGGGCGTGGATTTAACGAATGTAAGCGAAGCTGTTAAAGCGATTGCACTTAGTGCGAGACTGACCAATCCTTATTAACTTCTTCGGATGGGACATTTACAGTAGACCACTTGCTGCGCACTGGTGTACTAATCGGAAAGTGTAGGAGATTATCTCCAAATAGACTGATTACGGTGAGTGCTGCGCTGCAGTAAAATTGTTAAATGGTATCCATTTCAATCGCACCAAAATATCTAAGTATGACGCAAAAAATACATTTATTTAATAAATAATAATATTATTATCAATATATCTGTAAACATACAATACAAAATGTGTACTGATTACTATATTACAATTTTCATGACTTTGTAATGATGTCATGACAATAATTCTGAATCTGATCATGGAGGTAAGAAATATATCTGATCATTGTTTATTACTCACAGCTGACCACCCATCACTGCAGTGCAATGTAAACAAAACTTGGCAAAAACTTAGTAGGCTAGGTGGCACCAACAGAACTGGTAAAACCATTAATAAGGTGATCACTAAGGTGATTATAGAGTAATCACAGACCCTGGATCTGTGGTGATGACCCAAGTGTAATAGTTTCAGCTTGTATTAATTAATTATACCTTCATGATTTCAGACACCAGTGAAGCTTAAAAATAAGAGCTATAATAAACGGCTAGGTGTGCGGTAAAAATGGCCCCGGTAAAAATGGCCCCAAGTGACAGGTAAATAAAAATGACCCCAATGATAAAATTCAGTAATAAATGAGTATTTTAAAATCTTCAAATATTTAAATACTTTAAAATAGCAAGAATTAAATCAATAAATAAAAAAAAAACAGCCCCAATTTTAAAATTCATTTTTTTTAATGAATTTTTCAACTATTTAAATGCTGTAAAATAACAAACATTTATTTAATAAATCATTATGATAAAATTCAGTAATGATATTTTTAAAATCTCCTAACTATTTCAATAATAAAATAGCAAAAATTGAATCAATAAATCAAAATAAACTATATGCATATTCAAAAACTAAAATAACTTAGTTTTTTTTTTTTAAGAATCTACCGTTAATGTCAAGTAAGTTGCCATTTATAATAATACTTTTTGCAGGAATAATTAAAAATAAATGAATAAAATAGTCCGTAGATTAAAAAAATAAGCAATAAATAAACTGTCGTCATCACAATTATACTGTAAAGTGCTAGTTGCCACTGTATTCTGTTAAACATTTGTTTCATATCTTATGTATTATAATGTATTGTTTGGGCCACATGCCTATAATAAATACAGTAACTCATTTTAAGAAGAAATCAGGTCTTAATTATGTGAAAGCTGTTTTATGTTTATTTTTATTCTGAATCTTTCTTTTTAAATTCATCATAATCATACATACTCGTAAACTGTCACTCAAAAAAAAAAATTCTTTTTTTTCAAAACTATACTAAATAATGAAAACTGAGATATACTCAAATTTTATATAGTTATGTAAATATTTTAGTTATTCTAAGAATTAAAAAATAAATACATAAGAATTTTTTTTTTTTGGTTAAAATGTTGGGTTTTCATGTAAAAAATACCTGAAAATACACTGCAAACCTCCAAAAACACACTGTGAATGCCATCCAAACCCTTTAGTTATGATTGTAGGACTCTCTTTTTATCATTAAAAAAAAAATTGATGTTCAAAACAACTAATTTTTGCGTGGTTTAGCAATACCCAGGTAGAAGTTAAACATTTCTGGAAATTGTGATTCCGCTTCCGTGAAATTGGCCACAACTAAATAATCCACACATTACATGACAATAGTATTTTAGTATGACAATATTATGCCTTGGATCGCCACAGAATGTGCATTCTGAAAGTGAGTTGCCAAATAAAGAAGGTTGAGAAGCAGGGGTGTAAATCAAATATAGCACTAGACAGTGGTCCTCTTGTATCCTCAAAAGACTACTACCAGACATGGCATTTGTATCCAATGATAATTAAAATTGACAATTGTACTTCTCCTAAACCTACAGTAGCAAAAGTGGTGTTGCACCATAGTGGGATTAATTCTTTCATGGTTAAACTAATAATATACCACCAAATGATAGCTACCAGTCCAGTCCCACCTCAGCCACATAGCTTGAGGTACTGTCTGTAGATTGGTGTTTGTTTTTAATGATCCAGTATGGCAGGCATGTCTTTTGTGCTGACAGAATTGGCAATCTCTGAGTTTAAAATTTGATATTGAACAGATACAATTTTTTTATGTAAAGTTTGGGAACATATTATGTACACTAACCCCTCACCAATTACAATTATATAGCTTGCCATAAATACCACATTCTGTTTACTGGCAATAGGCTCCAAATCTGACCAAAATCCTCTCTCATCTTGACATTGTCAGTCTCAGATGATTACAATTGAAGAAATTGTAATTTGGTTTAACCTAAAAAAATGTATTTGGAATTGGCCCTTGCAACCATATTCACAATAACCAAAGAACATTTAAATTTTTGCTCATTCATTGGGAAGATTTTGCCAAAGTATGACAATCTTACAAAATATGTGATACTGTAATCTCTTTTTTTTAAGCTGATGTCCAGACTATCAAATTTTATTTGACAAAAACATGTGACATGCCTGAATTTGATCATGATGACATCACATCATCAACATATGGGCACATCATGACTATAATAATAGGCATACAAAAGTTTTTTGTCCAAGAAAAGTAATTATCTAGAAAGTTAGTCTTTCCAGCTATGTAACGTTCTTGTTCTTTTCCTGTTCTTCAGAAACTTGTACTCATTATGGACCTGCTACTCACAATGAACCTAACAACAATGTGGCTTTCCATGGTAACATGCAGTCTTTTGGAGCTATGAGGACAGAGATTGGAATGCTCTCTTACAGAAGTGCTATTGCAGACCTGGAAGCTAGTGTAGGCCAACTCAAATTAACAAGTGACTGCCAAGTTGTTGAAAGGATCTGTCGGCTTCTCTCTCATCATGGCCACGACTTGGAAACACAAAATAAAAGTAATTAGATAAGTGGATTAAGGGGTGGGGACATTTGGCCCGGGGGAAGTTGACCCAGGCGCCCACTCTGCTAAATTTAAAAAAATAAAAAGTGGAGAAAAAAAAAGAGAAAAATATAAAAATTTAAGTCTTAGAGTGCCATTTTCGGCCATTTAGGGAGGGGGTATACCACAAAATTTTGTGGTATAGGCCTTCCAGCTCTCAAAGTCTCCCTGGTTGCCCTCTATTTTGGATTCCTGTATTTGCCACTGAACTAGATAGATATTAGTCAATTAAATAGTAGAGAATCAATTTGTGGAAGTTTTACTGTGTGATGAAATCTTGAAAACCTCAAAATTTATGTTTTCATTTACAACAATTCTTGCAGACTTGCAGACATTTTGAAGTGAAGATTCTTAGGTTTTTCACGGCTAATATAATAGCGTATATTTCACTGAATGCAGATAATATACAATAGTTTTGTATGAGTCTGTTGATTTCGCTGAATGCAAAAAATATAGAAGAGTTTTTTTTATGAGTCTGTTGATTTCCAAGGAAATTGTACATGAAGTACATGTGTTGTGTTGAAATTTGAAGATAAATTAAAATGACAGTACTGTAATATCTTTACTTTGCAGATAAGTTGGATGAATTGTTCAAAACATTGAAGAGTGTAGCAGGAAGTACACGTGTAGACGTGCAATCAAGATTGCGTCTACTTCAGTTGTTCAAACTACGAACTAGTGGATGGGGTCGTGCTGCAACTCCAGATAATGCTAAGATTCATGAGCAGAGAGGGCAGGTAACAATCCAATGTCAATATATTTTTATGCAAATTTGTATTATTTCTTTTATCTGACTGTGAACTAAGGGACAGTAGGGGAAATGGCAGATTTTGGACCTGAGTATTTCTTTATTTTATGTGGAATAGTGGAATTTATTTTACAAAATTATCGAAAATTGTTACAGCACTAACAGTTATGATTTATTCTTGATTCTATAGAGTACCGTACATAATGTGACTGGTGTGAGCTGTGCCACCACCACCATACCACCAAGTAATATACCGCAAAGTACAACCAATATGTGTAGTACTGGTAGAACAATAGTATCAAGATATATGCCAACAACCAGTGTTTGTAGTACCACGACCACCACTGTACCAAGATACGGGTTTCAAAATACATATTGTACCACCACCATATCACCGTGGTGTGAGCCTATAAGTACCACCAGTGTGTGCAGTACCAATACCACCACCATACCGCCAAGGTATGTTGGTTCTGCTGAACCTAAGAGTCCGATGTCAACTGTAACTTTAATACTAACTAAACTGCAAGCTGAAAAGTGTAAGTAGCAACTTTTTGTCAGTCCTGTTTGCAACTGTATACAGCACATGTGGGCTAAGTGCAGCCCGCGGGGCGTATGCGGCTTGCCAGCGTATTTTTGCAGCCCGCGAAAATGAATTGTGTGCGTCCCGCCAAGCAACATTGGCTAGGAAACACCTAGCTTTTTATGGCCTGACACCGATCATATGTAAAAAATAAAATTAAAACTGAAAATAAATTGGTGTAAAAGCAGTTCATGGAGGTTTTGAAAGCACACTAGAAACAACAAAATTTGGTGCGGCCCTCGGTGTTAAATCAAAAATTCACTCGGCCCTCCGACCAATTTTTATGCCCACCTTGGTATACGGTATATATTTTGTTTCTAAAATATTTTTCAGTTGCAACATATTTTTGTTAGAAATGTGAAAGTTTTGGTAAATCTAAAAGTACTGTGCACACGGTGCAGTTGTGATGGTATTTGCAAATAAATCATTAAATGGATTAATATGCTAAATATATTGCTTTGCAGATTCTTCTTCAAGCTCTGTCCAGAGTATCAAATTTTCTTTTGACAAAAAACTGTTGTATGCCCATATATAGTCATGATATGCCTATATATGGTCATCATGTGATGTCATCATGACCATATTTAGGCATGTCACATGTTTTGGACAGGGCTTAACTCATCTTCAATATCTATATATTATATTTGTTGCAGGCAGGAAATAATACTAAGCAGCCTATCACAAATAATTTATTTACTTTGAAATAATATATTTATTCCCAAGACAAAGTATAAATTTGCCTGTCCCTCTCTGACCTATGAATCTCTCCCATTAAGCCGGGCACTTGCTGCTGCCAAGGGTTGTCGGCCTCCGCGATTTCATGGTGAAAGCAACATGACAATGTGTGTGCAACAAATCATTTTTAATGCTGATATGTTCAGATGGTTTTGCTTCTTTAAAGAGGGTTGTTAGCCTACCGTCGTGCAACCATCATACTTTATAATTATAGTGTATTACTTTAAATTTTGTCTGTATCTGATTATATGAGGATTGCCATGCCAAAAAACCAGCATCTGTGACCAAATCAGGAAATTTACTTTTAAATATTTTCATAATCCACATTGTAGGCTTTAAAATGATGGGTCATTTATTGCCACGTTTTTATGCTAATTACTCAGTTTAACATCTAGTGACAATACTCTGGTTTTGGGATGGCAAGCCTCGTGTTATAATACACCAAGCTGACAAAATGAAGAAAATATTGCCATTCATGTTTTTTTTTTTTTTTTTTTGGTTTATTTACAGTGATTCTAAAAGGAAAAGTAGCTCTACAGGATGTGTGTGTGTCATGCCAAGTTGAAGTTGCATTCCACCAAGGTAGGCTTGACTTAAAATCAGAGTGTAGAGTTAAACTTGCCTGATTCGACTTTGCTTAACTCGAATAATTTCTAAGTCTGTCTTACTTGCCAAATTGTTGTGGTTTCCATTTATTAACAATCTGTAAGTCAAATACTATTTAAGTCGAACAATTTTTCAATGGCATTTGACTTAGGCAAGTATTTTGTCTTTAACATATATAAAACATTAAAAACATTATCTTGTTTAAATGAACAGAAGCAACATCCAAGTACATAAAGGCTGTGTTGAGTGGGCATGCTTCAGGGGTTGAAGAAGCCAGAGTGAGACTATACAAACTTATCCAGGAAGATGATGATGTAAGTTAATGCATGATTTAAATTACATACTGAATGATGTTGCTGCATTAATAAATTTTTTGTTGTTTTGGCATTTTAACCAACAGATGCATAAATAACATGTACAGTATATAAGTCAATCCAGACATGTTTATTCAGTTAAATATACAAGAGTACCCATATATGTGGCCAAGACGAGGCAAACCAGTAAATCTGCGCAAATCTCGTTTCGGAGATAATAGCCAAATCATGTTGGAATGTCAGCATTTTTATTCTACTTATCGAACCTTTATATATTTATACGTCATGCTATGTTGATATTTTTCTGATTTTCCAACGTTAAAACAACATTTTTTTTAAATTTGGTGATAGTCTGCCTGAGAAATGACCAAAATCCTAAACTTTGAATGCTGATTTCTTGAATGCTGTTCTTTAAACAGCTGTGTGTTTATGAAACATGTCAGATTTAAATGATTCTTTTACTAATTTGTAAATTTCATTTTAATGTTCAACCCTCTACTGTAATAATAACTGAAAATCATTTTTTTGCGAAGAAAGACTGGTTTGGATTGTCTTTGCCACATATACTGTAAGAAGAACGGTATGAACATACAAGATTTTGCATTATCATCACTTTGCAGATCAATACCTTTTTTATTTTACATTAAATGTAATATATATAATCTGGATACTAATTATTTTCATTACTAATTAATTTTTTCTTTAAAAATTCAATATTTATAAAGTGTGAAAATTGTAATATTAATTAACTTTATGTAAATTTATCTTGATGAGAAATTAGAAAGTTGGTGAAGAATGTCAAATTATTAACACAATAATAAAAAATAAACAGCACCACAAATAAATGGAATAGTCCATGGCTATTTTCTCAAGCTTGTGCTTGAACAAACTAGAGCTTACAATAGATGCAGTTTCCTGTGTACTAAAACATATAAAGTCAGACATGCCGACACGATTTTATACAAAACGCTACACAACTAGGTTTGTGCAACAGTTTGTTTTTAATGATGATCCTCTAACTGCCACCAACAACCAACAGACAGCATTGCATTGTCAAGAACTCAGGGACTGTGTATCTGGCTTAAGACAGCATAGTAGTCCTAGACTGCAGGGGGTAGGAGTGGTTCCTGTGAACCTGCCAACAGAGAGATGTTACGAGTTACATACTTATTTCTTGCACAGTGGTTGATAGTGTTTGGTGGGTCATATCAGGTACAGTGATTAACTGATTTTCTGCCTGAAAGATAATTTCATGGATCTTAAATCTCACAAAAGATTTCACATTTTGTGGGAGTTTTTTGCATGCGCAGGCCATGCTTTGGAAAAACAAATCATCTTCATCAGGTTCTGGTACGTGTTCACATTTTGCTGTGTCTTCCTCTTTCTCTGGGACTGCCTCTTTCAAAGCGACTTTTGTTCTTAATCGTTTCAAACTTTTATGCAGCGGTGTCTCCCCAGTAGCGGCCGCATCTTCCTCACCGTTTTCCAGCGGACTGGTAACCTTCTTTTTATGCCTAATGAAAAAAAATTGAATAGATTTATGGTACCATTATTGATATGAGTATGCACCTTTCAAAATCACACCAATTGTAATTTTGTTTGCTAAGAATATATCTTCAAGTAACTGCCACAGTGCTTACTCATGATATATTATAATTTGAATTCAGCATTGCGACGTTTAATCAAGGTACATAATTTCCCACATGCTTTAATATTTCATAATATTAAGACACTATTAGTACTAAATAATTTCTGATGGACTAAAAACTAATGTTACCGAGTATTATAACAGCTGTAAAGGCGGTTTTCCACTAGGTAAATTTATTTGTTTAGCGCTTCATTATTTTCCACTACACAAGTGAAAACATTTGTGATACATATTTTTCACAAACATTGCTGTCGTGTTGACAATGATGTGTTGGTGTGCCATGGTGACACACACATTCATCATTTCCATTCTGTACTCTGTATTCTGTAAAACTGGCTGTGCAAAAATTTGCTTCACAAAAAGCCCATGAAAATGAAAAATGTGCATGTGTATGGTCAACATTTTCGCTTCAAGCAAATAAATTTTGATTAGTGGAAGACCACCTTAACTTAATGATTAATCTTTATTATACATTGCTATGGATTTGTGTAATACTCGGCATATTTGCAGAAGCGGTTGGCGCATTGATTGTGGCTTGGACTCCCAACCTTGAGGTCAGGGGTTTGAAACTCTCGATGCGCAAGTCGCTTGTGTCCTTGGGCAAGGCACTTTATCTACGTTTGTCTCTCTCTACCCAGGAGT